GGATTAGTTGAAGAAACATTTTTTTTGAGTGCCATGATATATGTAACTATTCCCAGAGCTATTCCCTTGCCTCTTCTTCTTTTTCTTTCTTTTCCTCTTTTCTGGTGGAGGGATTAATTCTGACTCAACATGAGCCTTTTCTGACACCATCTTCAGGTCCGCACCAAGGGAAGTGGTCTTAATTGAAGAAATATCTTCTTGACCACTATGATTCACATCATTATTTCCCACAGCACTCCCTTGCCTCTTCTTGCACTTCTTTCTCCTTCTCTCTGCCAATGGACAGATTAATTTTGAGTCCAAATGAAACTTTTCCGAATCAGCCTCGGGGCACATATTGATCCCATCCTCTATTATAAAGGGTTTCTTATTCGAAGAAATATCTTCCTCACCACCAGGATCCACATCTTTATCTTCCAGGACCTCCATCTTGTTACTTGATGAACTATCTTCTTGACCACCAGGATTCACATTTTTTTTTCCCAAGGCATTACCCTTCCTCTTCTTCTGCTTCTTTCTTTTCCTCTCTTGTGATGGACATACTAACTTCGAGACAAAGTGAATCTTCTCTGAATCAGTCTTTAGGTCAAACACAGCCTCTTTTAAAATGGATATTTTCTTACCGGAAGAAATATCTTCTTCATCACCAGGATTTACATCTTTATTTCCTAAGGCATTAGTCTGTCTCTTCTTTTTCTTCTTCTTTATCTTTTGCTGAGATTCACCAACAGCCTGTATCTCCTGATTCAAGTCTTGTTCTCTCCTCATTTCTAAATGAATCAGCTTTTGATATCCAGTTGGGCCTCTGTTGAAACTGATTTTGAACTGTTATGTCCCGTGGGTTCTACATATGAATCTCTTGCCAAATTAGCATTCATCATTATCTGAAATCTTTCTCACTCCTAGTCAGCTTCAATCTCTTCTTCTATGCTGGTAACAAAAGTAAATTTTTCAGCACCTGCTCCCATTTTAGCAATTACTGCAAAGATGCACACCGATTACAAACTTAACACATAACAGAAGCAATCTACATGAAACTAATAAATAATTAAGGCATACAAATGAATCCAATCTTGCAATTACACAACCAAAATGGGGGGGAGGACATTAGTAGTTTTTATAAAAAAAAAAAATCAGTAGGGAAAGAAAAGACACAAACTAAAGGAGGTTAAGCTATCTTCCAAAAAGACTAAGCAATTCAGCTTTTAAGTCTAGAAATATACAGGATTTGATAATAACCTCTATTTATCTACTGAAAGAGGAAACCATGAACGGTTCCTTAAGAATAAGAAAGCCAGGAGAAAGGTGGAACACACAAGCAAAACCTACAAACTCGCAAAGACATAACACATGCAATTTACATGGGACTAACAAATTAATTGATGCATGCCAATTGATCAAGTCTTGAAGTTAAACATGAGAAGGAGAGAAAAACCTTAGCAGGTTGAGAACACTTTAAGACAAATATCTGAAACAATTCTGAAATAAGGTGACCAAATATGACATGCAATTCAACTTGAAGTCTAGAGATTTACAGAAATTTATAATCATCTCTATATATATGCTGAAAAAAAAAAAGCCATGAACAATCCCCAAAAAAGGAGAAGAAAAAAAGACATGGGAAGATAGAACTTATATAAACTCGCCTATCCCAACAAATTAATGTATATTACAAACAAATTCTTGCTCCAGGAATCAATTATGTTTTTAAGCTATCTACCTTTCTGCTTGACAAGTTCTTTTGTCCCCTTTGTGACAAACGCACTTTTGGTTAGAAATGGAGTGGCCACTGACACTGGTTTAAGCTCGGGCAAAACACTGTCAAATAAATAAATGAAATACAAAAATAGGTGAGCAAAATAACAAGGTGGGAAGGCATTAGGCATACAACTCCCTAAGAAAATTTTAATTACGGCTTGTGAAGATGTGTAGATGTAAGTGACATCCATAACAGAAAAATAAATTACCTTATTACAAATCGCTGGGCCATAAACCAATAAAGAAGTTTATTTCAAAAAAGAAAATAAACCAATAAAGAAGTAGATACAACTCTTGAATTGGGGGGAGGATTTATACCTTGAAAAAATGATATCAATTGGGAGTCTAATGCTAAAAATAAAATGCAAAGAACAAAATGAAATTCCAACTTAATCTCAAATAAAAGATTATCTAGTCAAGATAGCTGAATGGAGAGTTAAAGAATCAAAGAACCGGAGAGATGGAAAGAATAAACAAAAAAGAAAAGGAGATATAAACTGGATCAGAGTTAAGGATTTGAATTACAGTGCAATGCCATCTAAGAAAAACTAGATAATCGAGAGAAAATTCTAAAAGATAAATGAAGAAATAACAAACAAAAAATGGAGAAGACAAAATAAAATGAAAGCAAAATTCTAACTTTCCCTATATAGAAATTAGATAGAAAGAATGAGAAAAAAAAAAAAGAATCGAGGAAGTAGAATAACACCAGCACTACCAAACTAACGAGAGAAATCAATGAGTGCAAGCAGCATTTGTCTAATGATCAAATGAATGAAATAAAAAAACTGTAAATTCAGAACTATAATCGCGTTGGTGCTTATGTCCATACAAAAGCAACTGTACACGAACACGCATGAATATATATAAACACTTAATAAAACTAAGCAAAATGGTTTAAACAATATAGAATTAAAAGATTATTAAACCACCTTATTATATTTCCTAGTATGAGGAAAATGAAAAAGCACATGAAACGACTAAGTAACGTACACATTCAAATCGATGCATCATCAGTTAAGAGAACTAGGCGTGGACGTAAGACAAGGTCAACATATGTACATCACTTACCCAGTGGAAACTTATTTTCCAAATCTTCACAATTATGAACTGAACAAGACTTCCCAACCCACTTAGTAATTGCCAGCTCAACCAAAAAGCTATTAACAATTAATTCAAATCTGAGCACCTAGGAAGCTAGTAGCAAACACTAACTAAAGATAAACTTAGGAAACATCCAACACATAGACAAAGAGGGAATATCCAAAAAAGGCTATTCCATACCATACGGTATAAAAGTAGAGGGTCTAATCCAACATACCCAATAAACAATGAGACAGTAAAAAAGATGAAAAGCAAACCAGGATCAAATCCACTGCTTCCCAACTTCAGTTTCATACAAGAGACCACTGAAACAACAAATTACACATATACCTTCAGCTTTACATCAACAAAACCATAAAGAACTCAGCGCAGGGAGGTTAGAGCTCAATTTTAACATGATGTATACGTGGGAGGGGAGGGGCCGGGGGCGGAGGGAGTATGACTATGGACGTACATATACATGTCTGTGTATATGTATATATATCACATTAACATATATCCGAAACCAGACAGGGAAACGAAAAGAAGATTGAGACCAGGATATGGTGAACAGTTTTGCAATGAACAAAGAAAAGAAACTATTTACATCATGCAACAATCACTCCCACAAATTAATAGATCTATAATGCGCGGAAGTCGGAGCGTAAAATACCAAACAAAACGAAAGAACGTCAATAAAATTAGTGCACCAACGGATACAAAATATGCTCTCATATCAAAAGGAAGAATATATATATATATATATATATATATATATATCAGCTCGTACAAATCCCGTTAATGTGTAAAGAAACACTGATTCTCACTGGAGAGTGAAAAGAGGGATAAATGAATAGAGAGGGAAAACTTATCAGAGCTGCACGTGAACGGAAATGTTTCCAAAACTAAACATCCAAACCCGTATTTTATGCCTTCTTCCAGACAAAATACAACTGAAACATACACGCATCATAACTACAAATTGCATCAAAATCCAAACCAAGGTGCTCTCCAAGCTAACCAGCAAAGGGAGAGTGAAGACAAGGCGATTACAATCAACCAAAATAAACAAGATCCATTGATGTCTATCCACGGGGACAGGAGTCAATTTTCAGACAATAGTGGAAAATCGACCTCAAAAGCATCATAGGCAGGCATTCAAGAAATAACGAGGGATCGACCATTACCTCGCAAAGAAATCTAAAGCGACAGCGACAGAAGAAGCTCACGGCTATGTATCAACTTGTTACGGGTCTTGTCTCAAGGAGAACTTAGCGAGCAAGGTAGGAAGGATTCGCGTCACCACTGAGTTCTTATTGCTTTGGACTTGAGAAGCTTGAGTAGAAGAAGATTGAAAAGTATACGTAAATAAGCCTAGGGTTTTCGGGTTTGGACAAAAGGACGTGGCAGGGGATGGAGCCTGCTAAGGAAAACGAGGAAGAGGAAAGGCATTAATTTGAGAAAGAGGAAGATGAAGCAGTTGAGGGAAGGGAAGAGGTGAGGTAGAAGAAAACACGGGGCACGTAATCGAGGTGGCTGTAATAGAAAGGAAAACGAGTAGGGAGAGTGGTGAATCGAGGGGGACAAGGAGAGTTACAGTCTATAGTAAAACGGTAATTGGAACTGGAGGGAAAAAAGATTAATTGGAAGAAAAATAATTATAAATTCTAGAAATCAAAACTATATTTGATGTTTTGTTTTCTCGTTTATCATTTTGTAAATAACTGATATATATTTTTACGAATTAAACAAAATATTACAACAATATTCATATGTTTATTTATTTATTTATTCTTAACGAAAATATCTTCCATTTCTCTTATTTGAAGTATTACATGTTTTTTTTTTTTTTCCTTTCTATCGTTTTTTTTATCTCTATTTCTTTACTAATTTTTGGCCTAAACATGACACAAAGAAATAGAGAAAAATAAATAAATAAAAAAACAAAAATATTATTGTGATATTTTATTATGCTTAATTTTACAAAAGAAATAAAATAATCTATTACAAAAGAAAAAAACAAGAGTTTTTTTTTTTTTTTTTTAAACGATTTTTCAGTATTTCATTTCCACTCATTTTACTCGGGAGGTTCCAGGGAACAATTGCAGAAAGAAATAGTGTCTTATGTTTTCTTTAATTTGTTATTTATCGGTAAATTTATTTGTTTTTGTGAAAATCCATCATTGACTTTATTGGAGAAGAAGTTTACGCAATCAAAAAATAAAAAACACTCAAACAAATACAAGATACCAGTTTTATTTCGCACACTTCCCATTCCAAATATCAATGCCCAATAACACAACAGTCATTTTAGAGGAAATACCACTCGTAATGCAATCCAATTGCTGAAACAAAAAACAAATCACAACCATGACATTCAACCACTATGGCTCTTATCAACCATTACAAACTAAAGATAAACATCTTATGATAATCTGAATACACAATCAAAAAATAAAAACTATCTATTTGCAAATTTCATCCAACATAGATTATCAGCTACATAGAAGAAAACTGTCTTCCATGGTACACGAGGCAACCTGCAACAGGGATGACAAGCAGATTTGCAACACCCCCTCAACACTTGTTTGTTTTAAGCATATGCGGTTAACATTTTACTATACTGTAGTCTCTGGGTGAGGGAAAAAATGCATAGCACCGAGAACAAGCAGTTTATTTAAGACCTAATCTTGATTTTAGACTGTTTAAAATAGTTGAAATGATGATATTTGATTCTAACGATACAAGCAGTTTAATTCACTTATAGATAGTCGTGAATGATGATTGTTTCAGACCTCAAGATATCATCCTCCATTTTTATACTATTGTAAGAGATTTCCATCATCTTGTAATCAGTGTGAAAATGTAAATTTCTAAATGGAGATTACAAACAAGGTTCATTTGTTCCAAACTTAATTTGAAGTTGCATCACAACAACATTAGATGAAACACCAAAAAACTCCTACTCCTGAGTATATTCAGGAAGTAACTGCAAAAGGACTCTTAATTGTTAAAAAAAATGTAAATAGGAAGGAAGAGTTCCATGAAACTTAAAAATACCAAAAGGAAATCAGTAGCCTACTATAATGTATTAATATGCATCTATTTCTACACGAGTGCACACAAATAAAGAGACCAAGTCAAATCTTTAAAAATGGAGAAAGAAATGAAAATAAAACATAGCAAAAGAAGTGGAAGGGAAAGGATTCTCTGAAATAACTTATTGTAACTTCCATTTCATGCATCTTATACACAACCAGCTTCTTCATAATCCACCGAAAAATTGTAGTTCTTTTGCCATCGAGAGCAAAATTCCTAAAAAACAATCCACACTAACCGTGAAATCATGAAGAAAGTATTTACTGATCTTCAGGTCAAAATATCTTCTGCGTGTGTGCACGACAAGAAGGCTCACTGCTAGTGGCATGGAATATCTGAACTGCTTTCTATTTTTCAAATTCAAAAATAAATCCATTTAATATAGAGGAGGCAATGCACGAAGCCTCAAACTCATGCATGACAACAATGGCATTTAGCTCAGTGCATTAACACAACCTGGTACTAGAGAACTTTCAAACTACCATTACCATCAGAACATCTGCAACCATCAAGCCTCTCTAAATGTCAGTTTTCTCCAGGTCTGAGAATGGGGTCACTTCCTGAGGTCACATTCCACTGTCCATTAGGTGGATCAGCCCCATAATCAACTTGTCATGGGTTTCAACTGGGGGCCAAACCAGCAGCAAGTTATAGTATCAATTCTCTAGCTTAATGGCGTCTGAAGTAGTAATTCTTGGGAGTAAGCATTCTACTTTCTGGGCTTGGTACTCCATAAGGTTCAACAAAGTTGTCCCAGCTCAAAAAGTTCAACAAATTCCAATCTACAAAGTCAAAGAACTAAGGGTTGTTATGGTAAAGGGTTATTATCAAGAAGCAATTCAAATGTACAAGCTATTGTCTCAAGAAAAACTTATAAGATACTTGAAATTATCGATGTCAATAAGGACAGGCCTATAACCATTCCCATAAGTTACAAATAAGTACAATAGAACTTAGTCAGAAAAGGAACAACTTGAATTGGGTTTTAGAAGAGAACTAGGAGGTTAACATCATTTGTCTTTGTATTGACGATTTATCAGCTTCATAGCTCAATATGGAAGTACATACAAGACGGACATGATTGCAAATGCATAATAGATCACAAGCAACTATTAACAAATTCATATAGTCCCATCTGCATAACTATTCCCAATCAATCTTCTAACGTCATAAACTGAAGTATTAACAAATTTAAGCACTACTATTTGTTAATCGAATAATATATCCTGAAAGAGCCATGGAAATACTTCATGATAAACTATTACCATGACAAAAATTTATTATGATACAAATCCTTTCAGATGTTAAGATATATGTGAAGATTTTTGGAGAAAAAATATAAATTTTATTTCACATCTTTTAGATTTTTGGAGGGATGAGAGACGAGGTCAAAAGTCTCATCAACTCTGGTGGTCTTGATCTGAGATCCTTCAAAATTCTAAATAAGGCATTGCATGGTAACTGGGCTTGGAGATACTGGAATGACACTAACAGTCTTTGGGAAAAAGTGGTGGATTGCAAGTGGAATCTGAATGGAAGACAGGATCAGATGTTGGATAGAAGTAATTTTGGTATGAGCTTGTGGAAGGGAATCTCTTATACTAATCATTCTGTTCTTGAGTTCTCTAGATGGAAAGTGAGAAAAGGCAACAAAGTCAAATTCTGGTCTGATTTCTGGTGTGGGGATTACAATCTGCAGACCAGTTTTTCTCTTATTTTTTGCCCTCTCTAAGGATAAACAGATGATAATTGAGGAAGCTTTTGACAAATATAATAGCATTGGTTGGACCATTGTGGTCAATAGGAATTTAGAAGATTGGAAATTGTGGAACATGAGAATTTGCTGGCAGTACTGAACACCATTCAGCTCAACAGCTCAGATGATAAGCTGATCTGGAAGTTGGAAAGCAAAGGCTCCTTCAGCGTAAAATCATACCACAATTATCTTGCGGGACATAACAGAATTGTGATAAAAACTTTTCCTGCCAATGTGATTTGGAGGACAAATGCTCCAACCAAAATTTCTTTCTTCGCTTGGGAAGCTTCCAAAGAATGCATTTTGATCATTGAGAATCACATAAAAAGAGGTTTTTCCCTTACGAACAGATGTTATCTATGCAAAAACAATGCTGAAACTAGTAATCACATTTTGCTTTGATGCCCTATCACTCACAAGCTATGGACTATGGTATATAGTCTACTTGACATTTGTTGGGTAATGACCAGCTCTGTTCAAGAAGAATTATTCACTTGGGATCTGGTGTGCCAGAAAATTAAGAAATTGAGACTCATTCCACTCACTATTTTCTGGGTTATCTGCAAAGAGAGAAACAATAGAGCCTTTGCAGGAAAGGAAGAAATATTTGGCAACATTGTGAACAAATGGCTACACTTTTTTGGGTCCACTGTATTGGAACATAATATTAACCATTTTGAAAATTTATGGTCAGTTGTAGATATTCTTATTGACTTGTAAATCTTTTGTACATGGACAGCGCCCCCTTGATGTTTCATATCAATATATTTTCTACGCTTTTCTTTCAAAAATAAAAATAAAAAGAATTTCTATTCTACTGAAAAGAAAATTTTTATTATATTATACTTCTAATTATATGAAATTATTATTCTCACAGAATTTTAATTAAATAATAAATATCAACTAATTAAATAATAAATTAAAATAATTAACTACTAAAATATGGTAGTCAACATCCAACCCAGCTAAAATTATCTAGAAATCTGGTGCTCCACCTAGAATCTCTTTCTTCGCTTGGGAAGCTGCTAAAGAAAAAATTATAACTCTGGATGATCTTATGAGAAGAGGATTCCTATTGCAAATAGATGCTATCTCTGTAAAATGGGTCCTGAATCGTGTAATCATCTTCTAATTTGGTGTCCTTTTTCCTACAATCTCTGGGCGATGATTCTTGGCCTACTGGGGCTTTTCTGGGTTATGGCAAAAACAGTATTTGGGGAACTTCTTGTTTGGGAAGGTCTTAGCAAAAGAAACAAGATCTACAAACTCATTCCATTTACGGTTTTTTGCGTCATTTGGAAGGAAAGAAACAAGCGTGCTTTTGACGGAAAACAATTAGATTTCAACACATTAAAAGACAATTGGTTTCACTATTTTGGCTCCACCATACTTGAGCATGATATTGATAGTAATGTGGATTTTGCTTCCATTGTAGATGTACTCATTGATATGTAAATATGTACATGGGCGAGCCTCGGCACCTTTCATCAATACATTTCTATACTTTTCTTTCAAAAAAAATGATAGTCAACATCCCTCCATCAAGTTGGTGCCGGAATATCTCTCATACCCATTTTGCAAACCAAGTTCTAAAGAGTCATCCTATAGTTTATCAGTATCAATCATCTTCTTTGTTCGAAAATTCTTATTTTACTAGATTTGTTGCACTTATAGCTAATGAAGAATTAAACTAAGACAGAATATGCTTCAAGGTTTAAATCTCTTTATTTGAAAATACTCCAATTGTTGGTGTGTCAGATGTTTCACTTACCTCAACAAATTTTCTTGGGTTCTCGTAGGCCCACCATTCATTCTCTCACGACGTCTAATTAGTTTTTCATGCAACTTCCAACAAATTTCGTTAGTGTATTTTGGCTTACCACAGTAATCACACTTCTGAAGATCTTTAGATTGGTCAGACTGAACAACTAATGCAGCTTTTTCAACTAGTGCTATGTAAAGCATGTCATTCCTTCTACTTTCTTCTTACTAAACATAAGCATAAGTTTGTTCCAATGAAAGAGGAAGATCCTTACCAAGCACCTGAATCCGTAGTTGATCATATTTGGTGTTCAGACCAGCTAAGAAATTATAAATTCGTTTTTTTCTATTAATTTCTGAAATTTAATTACATCTATAGGACAATCTGCTTGAAAGTCTTGATAATAATCTAATTCCTGCTATAATCTACTCAATTCAGAAAAATATTGTGAAATATTCATCTCTCATTACTTCGTGTCATGAATTTTATTTCAAAATTCATAAATTTAGGCGTCATTATCCACTAGTGAATATGAAAGAGATGTTACATTCCATATTTTTGTTGCAATATCGAGCAACAAATATGTTCGTGCAATATGGGGTTTCATGAAGTTGATGAGACAAGATATTACCAAAGAGTTTTTCAAAGTCTCATCTGTTATATTCTAAATCACTTACATCTGGTTTCTTCATTTTATCTGTAATGTACTACTGCAATTCTCTAACTTTGATAAATAATAAACAAGATCTTGACAAAGCAAAATAATTAGTTCCATCAATTTTCACAAAATTGATTTGTAATGAAGGGTTATTTGAATAAGAAACCATCACTTGTTTTTACTTCTGTCATTTTAGAATGATAAAGACAAAAAGAAAAACGCTCAATAATGAACAATAGTTTTCTTACTATGAACCAAAGTAGCCAACAAAGATAGAAAAATACTAAAATCAAATATGTATGGCTGTCTGGCTCAGCTCAAAAACGGATCGGCTCAGGCTGAAACTCAGCGCAACTTGATGCAAGTGGCTTGGCTCGGGCTGAAATCGGCTCTGCTCGACGACTCAGATCGGCTTAATGCAGCCGGCTAACAAAACTCCCCATGCACAACTCAACGCACGACGAAGAGGAAGATCATGTGCGGCAAAAGGCCGATAAGTTGCAGCCAGTGGCTTTGTGCAATCAGAGTGAGGCAGATCGAGGTGGTCGAGCAACTCTTCGTGCGGCTCTGTGCGCGACGAAAAAAACTGGGTTGATCGAATCTTCGCACGTCTCTGCATGCGGAGGAAGAAGGAACTCGAGGTAGTCGCACGGTTCTACACACGGCTGAAGAAGGAAACCGAAAGGAACCCGTGGCTCTGCGCACAGCCGAAGAAGGAAACCGAGGTGGTCGGGCAGCTCTACGTGCGGGGAAAGAAGAAGGAACCTGTGGATCTGACCTTTCTTCCCAAATTTGGCTTTCTCTCTCTGATATGGCTCTTTTTGCTATTCTTAGGGTTTAGAAAAGAAAAACGCTAAAATTAGAACCCCAAACTAGGGGGTGAAGAGGGTAACTCTAGATAACAACCCTACTTATTGTGCTATTTGAGGGTTTCAAAGAAACTCTGAAATTAAAACCCTAAATAGTTTTATTTAACTATGATATTATGAAGATTTTTGGAGAAAAAATATAAATTTTAATTCTCACCCTTTAGATTATTACACGTAGGGTATTTATAGGATTCATATTCTACTGATAAGAAAATTCTTATTCTACTAGTTTTCTAATTATATAATATTATTATTCTCATAAAATCCTAATTACATAATACTAACTAATTAAATAATAAACTAAAATAATTAACTATTAAAATATGGTAGTCAACAATATGCTTAAAATTTTAAGATAGGTATTTATTTATTAAAAAAAAAAGTCATTTTAAGATAGGTACATGGTTAACATATTTCCATTTACCTCGCTGAACTAACCCTTCAGTTGTAAGAGAGAAAGCTGAGAGAGCCAAGAAAATCTAGGATTTCGAGTAACATGTTGGCACACAGGCACACCCCCATATTTTCCACATCAACCACATGATACATCCTCCCTAGGGTTCAAGGAGGTTTCGTTTGAAGACCGAAAAAAAAGGGGGCCTGATAGGAGATGACATGGCATAGACCAAAACAACGTATAACCAGCCACTGAGTACACTGAAACAACTGCTACGTTTGGCAGCCAAAAAAAAAGCTTGGTAGGAGATGACAGGCACAAACCAAAACAACGTATAACC